ATCAGATGTTCTCTGATACTTCTGGTATAAAAGCAAAGCATTCCAGCCTGGCCAACATGGTGAAAACCCATCTCTACTAAAAATACAAAAATTAGCCAGGCATGGTGGCGGGTGCCTATAATCCCAGCCACTCAGGATGCTGAAGCAGGAGAATCGCCTGAACCCAGGAGGCAGAGGTTGCAGTGAGCCGAGATCGTGCCATTTATAAGAGCGAGAGTCTATCTCAAAAAGAAAGAAAGAAAAGAAAGAAAGAAAAGAAAGAAAGAAAGAAAGAAAGAAAGAAAGAAAGAAAGAAAGAAAGAAAGAAAGAAAGGGAGAGAAAGAGAAAGAAAGAAAGAGGGAGCGAGAGAGAAAGAAAGAAAGAAAAAGAAAGAAGAAAACAAAGCATGATTTCAGTTATTTTATCCACCATAAATAAGTTTTCACTTGAAAGTCATCTTAAAGTTATGATTGCCTTTACCAGTTTATAGTTTTTCTTTGTGTCTATAAGTTTTCTTTGTCCTCCTTTATCTGTCCTATTTTATCCTACAATTAAAAGTGAAAGATAGGCCAGGAACGGTGGCTCACACCTGTAATCCCAACACTTCGGGAGGCCGAGGCAGGTGGATCACTCGAGGTCAGGAATTCAAGACCATCCAGACTGATCAACATGGTGAAATCCTGTCTCAACTAAAAATACAAAAATTAACCAGGCATGGTGGTGCATGTCTGTAATCCCAGCTACTTGAGAGGCTAAGGCAAGAGAATCGCTTGAACGTGGGAGGTGGAGGTTGCAGTGAGCCAAGATCGCACCATTGCACTCCAGCCTGGGCAACAAGAGTGAAACTCTGTCTTTAAAAAAAAAAAAGTGAAAGCTAATAATAGAGTTAGCAGAAAATTCTAATGAACACATTAATTCAACAAATATTTATTAACCACCTTCTATGTGCTATGTGGGTATAGAGATGATGGTGTACAAAACATAGGGAGACAGAGAAGAAAATACACACACTTAATGTATTGTGATAAGTACTGTGTTTGGAGACTGTGTCAAGGACAGCGAGCTTTGGGAGCACATTGGAGAGGTACCCAACTCAGGGAAGAGAAGAAATCCCAGGGCAGTGATGTCTTAGCTAGGAACCAAAGACCATGTAAAATTAGGCCTGATAAGATAGTGAAAAGAGGTGGGCACAGGAAGCAGTCCAAGCAAAGAGAATACAAAGATCTGAAGTCAACACAGTTAATTCATGAGACTGTATTTCAATAGAATACAGATACACTGGATTAACTATGAACGTACACTTTGGTTTCTCTTCAAATTTTTCCTCGGATCAGGTCACTTCACTGGTTCTGCCTCCATTTCTTATCTATAAAATGGAGGCCATGATACATGGCCATGGTTGTTAAATAATAATAATTATTATAGTAATAGTAACTTCTATTTATTGAATGTTTACTAAATCCCAAGCACATTAATCATCACTTCTACCTATGATATGGCTACTGCTACTATATCTGTTTTACAGATGAATAAACTGAGGCGTATAGTGTTTAAACTTTCCCAAGTTTATACTAGGATATTAGGAAGTGCCAGAACTAGGATTTGAACCCAGTTCTATCTAACACCAATGTACTAGGTCATAAGTACTACATTAAAACATTAAAGAAATCTTTATTTTGAATACCTGAAAGTTTTGTTATAATAATTTATCATAACCATAAACATAAGAACAGGTACATTAACACCTCAATTGGCTTCTTTTAAAAAAAAAAACTCATCTAAGAATTTTCTTTTCTATTTCCACCACAAATATAAACTTTTTTAAAGTTCTTCAACTTTAACATCACCTTCACCAAAGTATTGTTCTTTATGAACATCAGTCGAATACCCATTATAGTGGCAGGCCCTATTTTAAGGACTTTGCCTTTGATGTTATTAATCCTCACTCCCCTGGGAAACAGATTTTTTCATGTTTTACAGACGAAGAAACCAAAGCTCAAAGAAGTTAAGTAAACTTCTCAAAGTTACATAATTGTTAAGACATGAAGCAGAATTTGGAATTAGATCTATCTGGTACCAAGGCTAATGCTCATTCCATGTTGCCTCAATGTAAAAGCTATCTCAAAATAAAGGGTAAAAGACAAAGTCACATTAAAACACAATATACAGGGTAGGCACAATGCCTCACGCCTATAATCCCAGAGCTTTGGGAGGTGGAGGTGGGAGGATCACTTGAGGTTCTTTTAGTTGGAGACCAGCCTGGGCAACATAGAGAGACCTCGTTCCTACAGAAAATTTAAATATTAGCCAGGTGTGGTAGTGTGTGGCTGTAGTCCCAGTTACTTGGGAGGTTGAGGAGGGAGAATTGCTTGAATCCAGGAGTTTAAGGGTGCAGTGAGCTATGATCATGCCACTAGGTGCAGTGAGCTATGATCATGCCACTGTGCTCCATCCTGGGTGAGAGAGTGAGACCCTGGAAAGAAAGAAAGAAGGAGGCCGCAGCGTGGCTCAAGCCTGTAATCCCAGCACTTTGGGAGGCTTTAGACGGCGGATCACAAGGTCAGGAGATCGAGACCATCTTACACACGGGGAAACTCCGTCTCTACTTGAAAGTACAAAAACTAGGCCAGGCGAGGTGGCGGGCGCCTGTAGTCCCAGCTACTCGGGAGGCTGAGGCAGGGGAATGGCGTAAACCCAGGAGGCGGAGCTTGCAGTGAGCTGAGATCCGGCCACTGCACTCCAGCCTGGGCGACAGAGCGAGACTCCGCCTCAAAAAAAAAAAAAGAAAGAAAGAAAGAAGGAAAGAAAGAAAGAGAGAGAGAGGAGGAAGGCTGGGAAGGCTGAAGAAGGAAGGAAGGAAGGAAGGAAGGAAGGAAGGAAGGAAATAAATAAAAAAACACAACAAACAGTAATGTCCAATGAATAGAGAGAAAGCCATCCTGATTTATAAGGCACTTAATTTTTCCCCCATCTAAACATAAACAGAAACTTAAACGAGGCTAAAGAAGTAGTTGAGTTACAAATGAGGATTTTCGGTGTATTAGTTACATTTTCAAATAACATTTTGCACCTTGTTTCGTATATCTTTAACCGTTCCTCCATGTAGTTTGTGCACAAATGAGAAAGCTTTTCAGCTGGGGTATCAATTATACTTTCATATACTATTTTGTATATTATTCACTGTTCCACAAAATTTAACAAATAGACATATAGTTCTATTTAATGAGTATGTCATAATTTAATTAACTAATTTCTTATTACTGAACATGGTTCCAATTTTTAAATATTATCATGTGATAAACACCTTTGTAGACAAATCTTTGCTCTCTAACACTTTTGCGTTTTATTTTATTTATTTATTGCGACAGAGTTTCACTCTTGTTGCCCAGGCTGGAGTACGGTGGTGCAATCTTGGCTCACTGCAACCTCTGCCTCCCGGGTTCAAGTAATTATCCTGTCTCAGTCCCCCAAGTAGCTGGAATTACAGGTGCCCACCACCAAGCCCAGCTAATTTTTTTGTGTTTTTGATAGAGACAGGGTTTCACCATGCTGCCCAGGCTGGTCTCAAACTCCTGACCTCAGGTGGTCCACCCGCTTTGGCCTCCCAAAGTGCTGGGATCACAGGTGTGCGCCACTGCCTGTCACCTTTGCATTTTAGATTAACCTTTTTTAAAAGGCATAATACACTTCATCCAAATAAGTGGCTCTAGTTGGGGCAATCTCAGTCTGTCCAAGTAGGTGGGAAAAATATTTTACTGTGGATGGTCCTTTCAGTCATCTCTAATTGCCTCTCAAGGTGGCTGCCTACTTTGCCAATTCAGAGGTTAGTTTGGGATAGCATTCTAGAAGTTTGGGAACAGGGACTGTTCCTAGGAAGCCTTACGTGTGATATAAGTGACGCTGTCATATAAGAGAAAGGAAAGAAATTAACTGAAGTAAGTTCTGTTATAGGATGTTAAAGCCAGAAAATATTTAGAAGATTACTTTTTTCTCTACTTTCCCACACAGTAGCCAAGAATGGCAAATAGTCTTCATCTCCATTGCCATCTCTGATTGGTGATGGCTGAAGGAGTGGAGTGTTAAGAAAGTCAAGGTAAAGGGAGAAAGTACAGTAATCACTGAGCTGCAACTTTTAAGGACGAGAGAGAGTAGTGACAGCCTAAGTCACAAATTTGCCATCCTTTAGTAAATGTTTGAATGAATAAATGGATATAATATTAAAAATACAAAATTGGCTTGCATCATTATATTATTTTCTTAAGACTTTAAAAAGTATTTATTTTTTGATCAATTTCTGTAATTCTATTACATTCAAGGTAAAGAGGAGAGGGTGGAGAGCAAATCTCTGTGTATGAAAGCACTTTATAACTAAAAGATCATTATCGACATTATCAATATCAGGCTTAGAAATGTTATTTAGTATTATTATAGTTATGTCATGGCTTTCATAACTGAACTTGCATTTAAAGAGTTTAATAAAGTGGTAATCATCCAGGTCTTTATTTGCAGTGAAATTTCATTCCATTCTTATTTATTTCATAGTTTGAGAGTAATATTTAAGTCTTTAAAGTTTATAAAAGGGGGAGGGCACGGTGGCTCACCCCTATAATCCCAGCACTTTAGGAGGCTGAGGTGAGCAGATCACCTGAGTCCAGGAGCTCGAGACCAGCCTGGGCAACATGGCAAAACCTTGTCTTGCAAAAAATACAAAAATTAGCCAGGCGTGATGGCACATGCCTGTAGTCCAAGCTATGTGCAAGTGTGAGGTGGGAGAATCATTTGAGCCCATGAGGTGGAGGTTGCAGTGAGCTGAGATTGCATCACTGTACTCCAGCCTGGATGACAAAGTGAGACTGTCTCAAAAATAAATAAATAAATAGTAAGTTTGTAAAAGTATTAAAATTAGGCAATTCTTTATTTTGAGCTTTAATTTCTAACGAATCTGCCATGCTATAATAGACGCAGACTTGTTATTCCCTAGAAATGATCCAAACTTTTTGTTATTATTATTTTGTGATAGCATGCAAGACGACAGCGTAGAAGCTTCTACTTCCATATCTCAGCTTCTAAGAGAGAGCTATTTAGCTGAAACCAGACATCGGGGAAACAATGAGAGGAGTCGAGCGGAGCCTTCCTCCAACCCTTTCCATTTTGGCAGTCCTTCTGGGGCCGCTGAAGGAGGCGGAGGCCAAGATGACCTTCCAGATCTTTCAGCCTTTCTGAGCCAAGAAGAATTAGATGAAAGTGTCACTCTGGCAAGACTGGCCATCAATCACGACCCTTTGGAGAAGGCAGATGAAACTCAAGCTAGAAAACGACTTTCTTCTGATCAGATGAAACACACACCTAATTCAAGTTTTGAGCCTAACTTCTGCCAGGATAACCCTCGAAGTCCCACCAGCTCCAAAGAAAGCCTCCAGGAGGCAAAAAAGCCACAGTATTGTTCTGAAACCCAGTCCAAAAAAGTATTCTTAAATAAGGCTGCCGACTTCATTGAAGAGCTATCCTCCCTTTTCAAATCCCACAGCTCCAAAAGGATTAGACCTCGTGCCTGCAAAAACCACAAGAGTAAACTGGAATCTCAAAACAAAGTTATGCAGGAAAACAGCTCCAGTTTCTCAGATCTGTCAGAAAGACGAGAAAGATCTTCTGTTCCCATCCCTATCCCTGCGGATACCAGGGATAATGAAGTGAATCACGCCCTCGAAGAGCAGGAAGCCAAGAGGCGTGAAGCGGAGCAGGCTGCCAGTGAGGCGGCTGGTGGAGACACCACCCCAGGGTCTTCCCCTTCATCTCTGTACTATGAAGAACCTCTGGGGCAACCTCCCCGGTTCACTCAAAAGTTACGGAGCAGAGAAGTTCCAGAAGGAACTCGAGTACAGTTGGATTGCATAGTGGTAGGAATTCCACCACCTCAAGTAAGGTAAAAATGCCCCACTGGTAATGTTGAGTAATGTTGTTTTCCATCTACCATGACCCTCCTAAGTATTATCCTTTAAGTACGTGGTTTCCAAAATTATATACCGTCTTTGAGAAAAGTAGTCGGTGTCTAAAAGCAGCTTGGTCCAATAGAAATGTAAACCTAGTCACGTATGTAGTTTTAATTTCTCTAGTAGCTACATTTTTTTTCATTATTTATTTTATATCTTTTTTTTTTAAATTATACTTTGAGTTCTAGGGTACATGTGCATAACGTGCAGGTTTGTTACACAGGTATACTTGTGCCATGTTGCTGTGCTGCACCCATCAACTCGTCAGCACCCGTAGCTACATTTTTAAAAACTAAAAAGAAGCAAGTGAAATTAAGTTAATAACATACATTATTTAACTAACATATTAAAAACATTATCGTAGGCTGGGCGCAGTGGCTCACGCCTGTAATCTCAGCACTTTGGGAGGCCGAGGCCAGCCGATCACCTGAGGTTGGGAGCTCGAGACCAGCCTGACCAACATGGAGAAACCCCATGTCTACTAAAAATACAAAAATTATCTGGGCATGGTGGCGGGTACCTGTAATCCCAGCTACTCCAGAGGCTAAGGCAGGAGAATAGCTTGGACTCAGGAGACGGAGGTTGTGGTGAGCAGAGATCGCACCACTGCACTCCAGCCTGGGCAACAAGAGCGAAACTCTGTCTCAAAAATAAATAAATAAATAAAAATAAAAATAAAAACATTATCATTCAACATGTAACCAGTGTAAGAATTATTAATAAGATATTTTACATTATTTTTATTATACCAGGGATTTGAAATCCAGCGTGAATTCTACACTGACAGCATATTTCAATTTGGATGTTAAATTTTCCTAGGGAATACAACCTTCATTTTGCCTGGGCGCAGTGGCTCACGCCTATAATCCCAGCTCTTGGGAAGGCCGAGGTGGGCAGATCACTTGAGGTCAGAAGTTTGAGACCAGCCTGGCCAACAGGGCGAAACCCCATCTCTACTAAAAATACAAAAAAATTAGCCGGGTGTGGTAACAGGCATCTGTAATACCAGCTACTCAGGAGGCTGAGGCAGAGAGAATTTCTTAAACCTGGGAGGTAGAGGTTGTAGTGAGCCAAGATCACACCACCGTATTCCAGCCTGGGCTATAGATCGAGGCTCCATCTCAAAATAAATAAATCAGGCCAGGAGCGGTGGCTCAGGCCTGTGATCCCAGCACTTTGGGAGGCCGAGGCGGGCAGATCACAAAGTCAGGAGATCGAGACCATCCTGGCTAACATGGTGAAACCCCGTCTCTACCGAAAATACAAAAAAAAATTAGCCTGGCATGGTGGCGGGCGCCTGTAGTCCCAGCTACTCGGGAGGCGGAGGCAGGAGAATGGCGTGAACCTGGGAGGCGGAGCTTGCAGTGAGCCGAGATCGCGCCACTGCACTCCAGCCTGGGCAACAGAGCGAGACTCCTTCAGTAAATAAATAAATAAATAAATAAATAAATAAATAAATAAATAAAATTAAAAATTCAGTTATTTAGTTGCACGAACCACATTTCAAGCGCCCAATAACTGCATGTGTCTAATGACTACAGTATTGGACAGTGCAGGGCTATAGTTTATAGCCTAAAAATTGTCTCTATGCAATGAATACCTGCAATATTTTTTTAAACTTTAAAGAAACCCAAATAATAGCATAAAAACCGACAGAATTGGGCTGAGGGTAAAGTCAATTTAAAGATTCATTATACATGTATTAAATGTATTATAAACTTTCAATGTCAGCTTCATGAACACTATGACTGATGGATAGAGAGGATATTCATCTTTTATTTGCCTACCATAGTCAGCTTTTCTGTGAAGCAAATGCAGTATAAGTTTCAGGAGTTCTCGCTTGCCTAGGCTATGCCTGATTTTGCATATTCTAATTTTATTTTACTTTTTAAAGGAGCCCTTCCACATTTATGAGCTTCAGGTCCCACAAAACCTGCAACCAGCCTTAGCCCCCAGAGTAACATGTCCTACCTTTGATTTTATAATGGAATAACATGTGAACAATATGGTTGAAGTGGATTACTTTTGTAGAGAATTCCTGGAATTTAGAGTCCTATAAGAGTTACTTTGTGTTTGTAACTACCTGAATATTACTAGAAAATGATTTCATTACTATTTAGCATTTATTCTCTGTATGTAAATAGGGCATCTGGGCATCATCTTTTTATTTCATAATATTCATATTATAGGACAATAGTAGTATTAATAATAGCATTTTTATTTATACATGCATATTAATTCAAGGGATTCTGGCCCAAAGACATATTCATATATTGATTTTTGCTTTTCAAAGGCAACATAAGGCAATGTAAAATATTATCTCTACAATGGCAGATACATTTGACTATTAGGTTATCCCGCTGACCTCCTTGAGGGCAGGGATTCTGTTGTTTTTACCTTCATGTCTTGAGCACCAAGCACAGCTTTGGGCTCATAGTAGCCACTCAGAAATGTTGAATAAGCTAGTGGATAAGGAAACAGGAAAACAAGAAACTCAACTTAGATTTAAATCAGAAGTGAGACCTTTGGCCTAAGACGTAGCAAAGGGTTGGAACTGAAAACCACAGGGCGGTGTCTGCCCTTCTGCTCTGAACGTGCCTGATGATACTCCCGGAGACTCTGGTCGGTAATGCTAGTGAGATGTCATCACAGCCCCCATGACAGCTACCACTCAGTGGCATCTGGCCAGTCTAAGTAAGCTGGTGAGAACTCCAGTTGTGATACACACAAAACTTAGATTAGTCCTGTCCAATCCATTAGTTTCTGAATATAGATTGATTATAAAAAAAAAATTAGACCAGATCATTCAGGTCTCATCCTACCCATTTTTCAACCATGACAATCTCAGATACAAGAATGAATTCAATTCACTACTAATAAATATCAATTAGGAAGACATTCACCACAAAGCAAAGTAATGTGGTGGCCACTCAGAAACCATTTAATCAGCCAACTAAAAATTTACAAATCTTCAAATTTAAAAGTGAAAGAAATGTACACAGTTTCCATGTAGCAATGCTAATTTTTCCTGGGAAGAATTTCTTTACTGACAGCATTCATACCTGTATCCTAACCACTGGTTCGATGCTAGGAAATTAGTAGGTATATGCTAAATATTTTCTGAATGAATTAGTACTTAATTTTATGACTGCAATTAGATTAAGAACAGAATTAGAATTTTCCAAGTAGACTAGTAGCTGTCATTTTCTTAAGCACAGAATTTATATAACTCCAATCAGAAAGCAAATATGTATTTATTTAGTTTTTACTGTGTGCTCAGCACTGTGATCAATGCAATGACAGACACAATATAAATATGCATCCCTGCCTTCAATGAACTTGCGATACAGTTAAAGAAATAATCCTAATTTTTATAGTACAAACTTTAAGTAGTGTCAGGTGTCACAGAAGGAGCAAAGGACTAGAAAAGTCAAAGAAGTCTTCAGAGATGTAGGAGGATTTTACTTGAACTTTGAATCGTGAAAATTTAGGTAGAAAGTTTCTTATTTACTCATTCAACAAATACTAATTGAGTTACTAAAGTGATTCACTGGGAGTACAAAACAATTGTGAGCTAGTGGAGGTCAGGAATCTTGTTTTGAAACCAAATCTAAAGTCTTCTGAGAGGGTGGCTCACAGTCTAATAGCTAGGAATCAGGCAGACAGCAAACAAATCAATCACTGCAGTATTACGTAATAAGGGCTACGACAGGAGTCTGTAGAGGAGGCAGTGGTGGTTTAAAGGAGTATATGAGTTGCTTAGCCTGGAGCACATGATAAAGGAAGCGTTAACTCAGGAGGTAGAGGATGCCAAGGGTAGAGGGGAAAGCAAGTGCAAAGCTCCCGAGGCAAGTGTTATCAGGGAACCGTAAGTACTCATCTATGTCAAGAACACAGAGTAAAGGTAAGAAAGATTAGAGATAAGGTTGAAGAGGTAGGTGGAAGGAATGGGTCCTTTCAGGCCAGGTCACTTCAACATGTTTATGGAAGGGCACAGGCACTCTTAATTATAATAAGATTTTTTATATGGCAGGGAGGACACTGACCAAACTGGAAAGGACAGTAGAGTCAGATGACTTTGAAGAAGCTTGAAAGCAAAGCAGAGTAGTTCAGGCTTGGTTTCAAAACAAACTGGAAACTATTTAATGTTGTGTATGGGGAAGTAACAAGATGAAAGGGAGGATTTAAGAAGAATTAATCTGGAAGAATAAGTCACATCTGGAAAAAATGAAGCCATGAAGCCACTTAGGGAGCTGCAGAAGGTATCCCAGGCATCTGATGCTCTGGTGGGACTCGGGTGGGTGTGGTAGGAATGAGGAGGAAAGATGTCAGCGAGCAATGTTTAGAAGAAAAGAAATCAAGCTGAACTTGGTGACACACCACAGAGGAAGGACAGGTATACAAAATTTACTCCACAAGTTTGTGGACCTGGACACTTGAGAGAAAGATGGGGTCTCCAGCAAGGATGGAGGCAAGGGAATAAGTGGCTGGTTTGTGGAGGAGGTCGATGGGAATTTGAGTCTGAGGGGACAGATGGACCATTTCCAATAGGCAGGCAGAAATGCAGGACTGAAAGTCCGATGAGAGAGTAGTGGAACTAGAAACATTCCAAGGAATACCCTGGACACTGAGAAAAGCTTGACACAATATCTCTGTACTTACAAAGGAACTGTAAACACAAGTAACACTTGGAACCAACTTCTAGTTGGTTCAGTCCAGTGCTAGAGTGGAGTAGTGTTTTTGACACAGAATCTCTCTCTGTCACTCAGGCTGGAGCGCAATGGCCAGATCTTGGCTCACTGCAACCTCTGCCTCCTGCGTTCAAGCAATTCCCCTGCCTCAGCCTCCCAAGTAACTGGAATTACAGGTGCCTGCCACCACACCCAGCTAATTTTTTTGTATTTTCAGTAGAGATGGGGTTTCACCATGTTGG